CAATTTCCCCACTGGCTTTAGTAATCACTATAGATTTATTTGATCTATTTTTTCCTTTATTCCTCCTTTTGGGTTGAGCCTCACACAGGGAACATACTCCAATTCATTTGACTGGAGGCCATCACTTCCGAAACTGGAAATGCCATTTTGGGCGGGGGCCTATTGTGTTCAGGAGCCATTTTAGGCAAGAGCTCACTGGACCCAGGTGCCATCTTAGGGGTGCCAGGTGTCTGATCAGCCTGCAAAGATTGTAAGTGTAATGTAAGCCTCTCAAACAGTCAATTTTCCAGGTCCAAAAGCACATTGGAAAATTTAGGAGCAAATTTGGAAAGTTCATTATTATCAGGAGGCGGTTTTGTAGCAACTGGTGCTGCAACGTGGTCAGGATGGTATTTGGAAGCCTCTTTGGCTAAGTCTTCCCAATTGACCTCTTGTAAAGCAGTAAGGTTGGGATACAAAGATTTATAATGGGTCAGGAGAGGAGCCTTGGGCGGAGGAGGCGGCAAAAGCTCAGAAGGGGGAGGCGGTAGCTGCTCATTAGGGGAAGGCAGAAGCTGATCGTTATCTTGGGGTTTGGTTAACACTTCATTTGCCTCCTCACCGTGGTGAGAGGAGACATCGGAACCAGCCTGGGAAGGGGCTAGAGTGGGCCTATTGGAGTTACATAGGAGAGCTTCTCCGTGGGTAATCATTTCTCCGACCAAAGGGTCTCTATGTCACTGCATAAAAATCTGATCAATTAAAACCCAGTATGAAAATGCTGGGATTGGGACTTTTTCAAGGCCAAAAACTCTACAAAAATCCTGTAATGCATCACCCACTTGTTTTTATCTTTTAGAATTGATCGTGCCCTCCAATGGTAACCACAGGCAAACCTCATGAATAAACTTAAAATACTGTAATAAATCTTTTTCTTTTACCTTAATCCCTCGTGTCTTGAGTGCCTTACTGAGGCTTTCTAAACAGTTCATGCTTGCTCGATGCTTGACCCATGCCAGAAAAGGGGAAGGGGGTTGCCGTTCACTCACCCTGGCTCCAGTGGTGCTGCAGGCACTCTCGCGGCATTGGCCTTGGAATTTACTTTCACTATCTGCTTCGTACCCGGGGTCTCGAACTGCTCCCTCATTAAATCCTCTGTGCCAGGCCTCCACGTGGGGCACCATTTGATTCGGCCCTTGAGATGAGACGTGGGGTAATAACATGGAAGAGGAACGGGGATGAACAAGACAGGGCAAGAGACACAAGAAAGTGAGAGAAGACAGGCTTTCTGATCAAGTTTCATTTATTGAGGAAGTGAACAGGGTATAAATAGATGTATAGTGGAAGTAGTTGGCTGATACTAGGCGTGGATTGGTAGAGAAGATCAAGGATCACATTAAGATGCCAAGGCAGATGGGGATTGGTGCTGTAGCACTTCTTGCCCAAATAAAGGAAAATATAACAGGAGCGTTATATCGACCCCTACAATTTAGTAACACAAATCATGCAGTAGAAAAAAGCAGCTCCCCTCAGGGCACTGGAGTGTAGAAACGTGATTGTTGCTCTTTGCCCATAGGAATTAATAGGAGATAGAACAACCTTCTGCAGTTTCTATGCACCTCCAGCTGGAAAGTCACAACATTAAATGATGCTTTCTCTTAGGAGACAGAATGATTTGCCACTCTTTTCACAGCGCTGCACTGTGAAGTACTGAAGTTACAAAAGTGACGTTTAAGACACAGTTCGATTTTGCGCTGTATAGAGGAACACGCATAGGAGTGCCCTGCTTCCCAAAGAAGCTGGAGGTTAGCTGGGTCTTCTGCATTAAGAACTCACACTTAGACACACATATCATGCAGTAGATGCAAGCAGCTCTCCATAGGGCACTGACTCTAGAAACATGTTTGTGGCTCTTTGTCTATAGGAATGAATAGGAGAGAGAACAACCTTCTGCAGTATCTTTGCACCTACAGCTGGGCAGTGACAAACTTCACGGGTGTTTTCTCTTAGGAAACTGAATGATGTGAAACTCTTCATAGCATGGAACTGTGAAGTAATTTAGTTACATAAGTGTCCTTTTAGCCAGAGTTATGTGTTGAGGTTTATAAAGGAAAACACATTGGAGTGCACTGCTTCCCAAAGAAGGTGGAGCTTGGCCAGATCTTCTGAATTAATAGCTCACACATAGAAGCACAAATCATGCAGGAGAAATAAGTAGGTCTCCTCAGGGCACTGGAGAATACAAACGTGTTTGTGGATCCTTGTCCTTAGGAATGAATGGGAGAGAGAACAACCATTTGCAGTTTCTATGCACCTCCAGCAGGAAAGTGACAAACTTCACGGATGTTTTCTCTCAGGAGACTGAATGAATTGCCACTCTTTTCACAGCGCGGAACTGTGGAGTACTTTAGTTACAAAAGAGAGGTTTTAGCCAGAGTTCTGTGTTGCGCTGTATACAGTAACAGGCATTGGAGTGCCCTGCTTCCCAAAGAAGCTGGAGCATAGCTAGCTCATCTGCATTAAGAACTCACACTTAGAAACACAAATCATGCAGAAGAAACAAGCAGGTATCCTCAGGGCACTGGAGTCTAGAAACATGTTTGTGCCTCTTTGCTGATAAGAATGAAGGGGAGAGAGAACAAACTTCCGCAGTTTCTGTGCACATCCAGCTGGGAAGTCACAAATTTAACAGATGTTTTCTTTTAGGAGACTGGATGAGGTATCACTCTTTTCAAATGGAGAAACGTTAAGTACTTTAGTTACAAAAGTGATGGTTTAGACAGAGATCTGTATTTCGCTTTATGCAGGAAAACGAATTATAGTGCCCTGCTTCCCAAAGAAGCTTGAGCTTAGCTGGCTCATCTGTACTAAGAACTCACACTTAGAAACACAAATCATGCAGAAGAAACAAGCAGCTCTGCTCAGGGCACTGGAGTCTAAAAACGTGTTTGTGACACTTTCACCATAGGAATGATGAGAGAGTGAACAACCTTCTGCAGTTTCTTTGCAAATCCAACTGGAAAGACACAAACTTCAGGGATGCTTTCTCTTAGGAGACTGAATTATTTGCCACTCATTTCCTAGTGCAGAACTGTGAAGTGCTTTTATTACAAAAGTGAAGATTTACCCAGAGTTCACTGTTCGCTTTATATAAGAACAAGCATTGGAATGCCCTGCATCCCAAAAGAAGCTGGAGCTTATTGGGCTCTTCTGCATTAAGAAATCACACTTAGAAACACAAATTATGCAGTAGAAACAAGCAGTTCTCCTCATGGCAGTGGAGTCTAGAACCGAGTTTATGGATCTTTGTCTTCAGGAATGAATGGAAGAGAGAAAAACCTTCTGCAGTTTCTCTGCACCTCCAGCTGGAAAGTCAAAAACTTCAGTGATGCTTTCTCTTAGGAGACTGAATGATTTGCCACTCTATTCACAGCGCAGAACTGTGAAGTAATTTAGTTACAAAAGTGAGGTTTTACCCAGAGTTCTGCTTTGCGCTGCATACAGGAACAGGAATTGTAATGCCCTGCTTCCCAAAAGAGCTGGAGGTTAGCGGGCTCTTCTGCATTAAGAGTTCACACTTAGAATCACAAATCATGCAGTAGAAACAAGCAGCTCATCTCAGGGATCTGGAGTCTAGAAACGTGTTTGTGGCTTTTTGCCCATAGAATGAATGGGCGAGAGAATAACCTTCTGCAGTTTCTCTGCACAAGCACCTGAAAAGTCACAAACTTCACAGATGCTTTCTCTTAGAAGACTGAATGATTTGAAACTCTTTTGAAAGCATGGAACTGTGAAGTACGCTAGTTACAAACGTGACGTTTTAACCAGAGTTCTGTGTTGAGATGAATACAGGAACAGGCATTGGAGTGCCCTGCTTCACAAAGAAGCTAGAGCTTAGCTGGCTCTTCTGCATTAAGAACTCACACTTAGAAACACAAATCATGCAGTAGAAACAAGCAGCTCTCCTCAGGGCACTGGAGTCAACAAACGTGGTTGTGGCTCTTTATCTGCAGGCATGAATGGGAGAGAGAACAACCTTCTCTATTTTCTCTGCACGTAAGCTCCAAATTTCCAAACTTCAGGGATGCTTTGTCTTAGGAGACTGAATGTTTTCCACTCTTTTCACAGCGTGGAACTGTGAAGTACTTTAGTTTCAAAAGATAAGCTTTAGACAGAGTTCTGTGTTCAGATATATATAGGAATAGGCATTTGAGTGCCATGCTTGACAAAAAAGCTAGAGTTTAGCTGGCTCTTCTGAATTAAGAACTCACACTTAGAAACACAAATCATGCAGTAGAAACAAGCAGCTCTCCTCAGGGCACTGGAGTCTAGAAA